TTATTTGGTTATAAATAAAAATTGTGTTAAAAATAATATAATTATAGGCATAACCAACTCATGTATGACAAGATAACTCCTGGGGAAATACATATAAAGATAGGAGGTGACTATGGAGGTAGTTTGTTCAAAATGTGTTATCAAGTAGCTAATGTTGTAAATCCCAATTCAAAGAATAATACAACAGTTTTTAATATATTTGAGGCCAAAGACTATCGTGCAAACCTTAAAATTGGACTATCAAGGCACACAGATGAAATAAGACAGATTCAGTCAATGAAATAGAGGTGAATAAAAAAATATTTCTGAAATTTAGTTTGGGATAATTACATTAATAAATGTTTGTAGAAATATCTATTTTAGTTATGATTTGATTTTAAAGCATTGTTGTTTTAGAGAAAAGAATTTACGTGTATTTATATTTGGCGATTTTGAATTTTTTTGTGCTGTCTATGGCATCTCAGGAGGTAACAATAAAAATGCAAAGAAGTTTAATAATGTAATTGATGAGCCATTATTTGATATACCAATTGAACAGGTTTGTAGTAGTTGTTGTCAAAACATTTTTGCCAGTAATATATGTACTACACATTAAAAAGTTATTAAGTATTATATATTATTACAAATCTCTTTATAGATAGCGATACCAGCTCTCCACATCACATTAGGAATATTTCTTAAATTTTTCAACTTGTTGGAGAAAGAGTCTCATCTTCTTGATATCAAACTAGCAGGAGTTCTTGCAATTAATGATAAACGTATTGATTTAAGTGAATATGATGATTATGTTGAGAAACAGGTAGAGATATTCCAGTTAAAATATTCCATTGAAGATATAAATAACAAAATTCTTTTTATTCAAGATGCTTGTGTTATTGAAGTATTTCATAACCCTGAAAATTCAGGAAATATAAAGGTAATGTACAAAGAGAGAATTGCACTGTTAGAATCAAAGAGAACAGAAAAGGTATATTTACATTAAAAAGTACAAGAAACATTGACTTATTTTAAGGACATTCGGATTATTTATACATCAATAATTGTATTTACTTTATAAGGAGGGACGAATTGCAGAATGTTTTAAAGTTGAGTTGAATCAAGGATCCGGCCCAATAGTAAAGGAAATTGAATCTGTTTTGCAGTCATGTGGAGTGCAACGTCAAGCTTATCATAGTCGCTCCTTTATTGGAAACCATATTCATAAAATGTTATTGGTAACATTGTTATTTAAATATATTTATTCTTTTAGGCAATAACATTGATCTGTTTTTCTGTATACTATGCAGGTTTATGGAGTTTTGACAACTTTTTTTTAGTATTCCCATTCTGATCTTATATAATTTATATACTTAAAATTAATTTTTAGAAAATTATTTTTTATTTTTTAGTATGATATATATATATATATATATATATATATATATATATATATATATATATATATATATATATATATATATATATATATATATATATATATACATATATAAATATATAAATATATAAATATATATATATATATATATATATATATATATATATATATATATATATATATGTATATATATATATATATATATATATATATATATATATATATATATATATATATATATATATATATATATATATATATATATATATATATATATATATATATATATATATATATATATATATATATATATATATATATATATATATATATATATATATATATATTAACACTCTTAAGATCTTAACTGTTGCCTCTTGCTGATAGGAACGGAGATTTTTTTAGCAATACATTTATTAGTTGAGTTTGTTTTATTTTAGAAGCAACGGTTTAGGAACTATTGACGTTTTTTCGAACTAATTGGCCAAATGAATCGATAACTCCAAAAATGCATATGTTAGAGGATCATATGGGAGTTTTTTAAACAAATGGGGAGTTGGGCTTGGATTATATGGAGAACAAGGTGGCGAAAGTATACACGCAGAATTTAATAACATAGAAAGATTATACTCTAACATGTCGGGCACCCGAAAACTAGAAAGTGTCATGAGAGACCATTACACGAGAAATAACTTAATATCAAAATATTTAAAAGTGCCGATCATCCCTCGAAAAAAAAAATTACAAATTAAAATTATATAGTTTACGTTATATATATATATATTTAGTGTTTGAATAAAGTTACTTTAAGGTGTTATTAAAATAAAAAAAGTCAGCCATATTGTTTTTCGAATAATTGAGAAATAGTGAAAAACTATTAAACTTTATAACCTAATATCATTAGTTAAAAAAATGGCTGGTAAAAATATTATGCTAATTATTAAAATTCAGCTTTTATTCTTTCCAATGATATGTAACACTACAACTAAAAAATTGATTTTTTTAAGTTTTATTAAAGAATAAAAGTGGTAGAAAAATCTGCAATAAAATATGAGACGAATTGAAAGGTGAATTATAGCTGTAGGCGTCACATGTTTATAGTTATTATAATTTTTCCTATTTACTAAAATGTAAGATAAGATAAAAACATAATAATTAGTAAGTAAATATATATTTATATATACATCGTATATATCAAGATTTAAAAAGTCACAAAACGCTTCGTTTTTAAGGCTAGTGAAAAAACAGCATAATTGAGATCATGCGTAATACGCATGCCCACTATAAATGTCCATTGCGAAACGACCGTGAGTTACTGAGTATTTTCAACACAAATGTCAACCTTATCTGATTTCCAACGGTACACCAGGGAAAGATTGGTACAAGCTTTTTATCAACCGGTCGAGTAATAAATAAGGTATTAGAGCCATTGACAATTCTTCATCACTCAGAGGGGCTTCTTGCACGCAAGAAATATTAGCGAAGTATTTCAACACACTGTAAAGAGAATTCTGCGAAGTAGATACAAACGAAAACACTTCATCTTATTTGTGAAATTTTTATAAAATTGGCTTCTCGAGCGATCAAGGAAAGCAACACATAGTTTGTAGACGTTGTGCTAAACGACCATTAAAATTAGTTGGCACAATGAAAAAATCAACTATACCGTTTGAAATTGCATCAATGTTATTCGTTAACGTCTTGCGCCATACACTATTTATGAGGCGAATAAACGTCTGGACAAAAATTTGGTGTTTAAGTGGTCCAGACGATGCCGTATATGCAACATCTGTTGTTTGATTGGTTAAAAATTGTTTTAAAAACTGGTTGAAGTATAAAATTTTAGTTATGCCTATTGTATTTATTTTTAACTCCATGGACGGACCCTTGAGGAACTCTGCATGTTATATCTAACATTTGTGTTTGCGGTGATAAGTTACATATAATAAAAATGCCTTCTATTGCATAAATAATTTTTAACAGCTTCAGAACACTATCAAAGATCCAATAATACATTAGTTTTTTTATTCGAATTTTATGATCAATTGTATCAAAGGGTTTAAACAAATCGAAAAATATGCCTAAAGTAAGTTTAGATTTATCAAATGACAGAGAGAACAAATATTGCACGGGTGTCGAATTTTTGATATTTCAGATAGGAAACTTTCACACATTATACATAGTCCAAACTTAAGTATGTTCATACCTATGCCAAATGAAGAACCCTTGCAAAAATTTGGGATGGTGGAGGCCTGGGACTAAAAATATTTGACAGATTTTAAATTTCGTATAATATATAATAGGAATTCATTCATTTTATTAGCTACCTCTCTTGGATCATTAAAAGTTAAAATTTGGCATCGCAGTACAGTAGAGCTCAAAAACTATTTCCATCAATCAGATTTACAGTCATACATTTGATTCTCCGTCATTCGTTTATTCAGTTATTAAGTCATTCATCAGATTCAGAGTCGTTCATTTCTATTTGATTATATTCTACGAATGTAATTCTACAAATAGATTATACATTCTAGGAATTTAATTCTATGTATAGATTACATTCTATGAATGTAATTCTATATATAGATTCTTTAAATGTAACCATTACATTCTATGATTATAGAATCAATCATATTATAGTTATTAATAATAAACTATTTCATTACATTCATATGAATGTAATGAAATAACTTAATTACAATAATATAACAGAGAACTTTACTATTTCAAATAAATCCCTCTGAGATATATAAATATATATTTCATAATAAATCTCTAAATTCGAGAGTAACCCTCTTAAATTGAAGGGATTTAAACTTTATATGGTTATTGTTTTTGAACGCTGTAAGATAGTACTATAAAACTTAGAATTTATCAATGAATATAATTCCAATTGAGAAAAGTACAAAAGAAAAATTTATCAAATTGTTGCCCCTCGCGTTTGTTTTATCAAGTGAAAGGGCTTTTTTTTTTAATCCCCGCAATTTTTTGCACAGCCTCATTGTTTGAAATAAGTATAAAAATACAAATGTTTGGAGTTTGCTCGATGTCTGGATGTTAGGATTAATCTCAAACACCAAAAAATCATAGATTAGTCACTGCATTCAATAATGGTAAACTCTCTCAAAAGTACAAGAGTATTTGCATTATTATTAAAACGTTGTAATACAACAACTTTTTGATTATATAAATTTACTTTAGCTTGAATGTAACTAAAATGCCATTGATTTAATTTATTTTTGAAAAAGTCACTTAAATTGACTACACTCAATGACCCTTAATGACTCTTTTTCAAATTTCTAAAAAGTTCTGTTTCTTTCGAGACACTGGTTGCTATACTTTAAGAGAAAATGTTTTTACTGGTATATAACCCAGCATGTTGTATTTGTGCATAAATTGTAAGCTTTTTGTATATACCTTCATAATTTTGGTAGAATTGCAATAAAAATTCTCTTTTTTAATCTGCAGAACAGATAAACGCTATGAAAGGCATACATTTGTAAAAGATTAGTTTTAACTTTTCTATCATATTTAAATATGAAAATAGCATTTAAAAAATCTCACTAGATTTTTGGAAATACAAAAGTTGGAACATAATACAAAAATAATAAAAAAATGTACATACCTTCAATGAATTCTCCAAAAAACATGTTAATCACTTCGATCATTTCTGATTCACTTTCAATGTTTTTATAGACGATTCCATCTATTGTTTCTCTCAAATATGACCTTACTAACATTTTTACTTGACTTAAAATAATATTTTAATGTTTGAAGTCATTAAAATGAATACCATGATTACTTAAAACTAAACTACATTATAATAATTCATTTTAAATTAAAATTTTTTTAAATAATGTAAGTTCTATTTAAAACATTTTCTCTCTCTCTCTCTCTCTCTCTCTCTCTCTGTCTATATATATATATATATATATATATATATATATATATATATATATATATATATATATATATATATATATATATATATATATATATATATATATATATATATATATATATCTATATATATATATATATATATATATATATATATATATATATATATATATATATATATATATATATATATATATATATATATATATATATATATATATATGTATTAATACATTTATATATAAGATAAGTCGTTAACTCGAACCCGTTAACTTGAACCCTGGATAAGTCGATTTTCGTTAAATTCTCAATACATACCGTAAATCGGGGCTGTTAGGAAAGTAAAGGGCTATTTGGTTAATAACTTTATAAATTATTATATATTTGCTTAAATTATTTGCTTTATAAATATTTTTTGGATTAGAAAGTTATGTTAGCAATATTTTAATTAAACTACTCGTATGTTGCCAAAATTAAATGGTTATTGAGGTTATATTTATCAGAATTGCTGTTAAAACTTGCGAGTAAAACAACCATGTTTTTTCATTAGAAATACATGACAAACTTTATTTCTGAGTAATAAATAAAGAAACGGCAAGAATTTGAAGACCATTAAATAAAAATATATAATAATCCGGCAGTTTAAATTTCTTATTCCATTTAAAATATAGTAAAATTTTTCATAAAATGTTTTGAGATTCATACATATGTATGAGTCTCAAAACATTTTATGAAAAACTACATATAGTAAATGGTAAGAGAACAAAAAAGAAGCAATAGATTTTTCAGGAATGGAAAAGTTTACAAAGCATACAACAGTTGTAATGAAGAGGATCTTGAAATAGCTGCTTATTAAATGCAAAGCAAAACACTTACTCTTCCTGAGGCTTTAAAGAAATATAAAATTCTAATTTCCATTTTGGGTAGAAAGTATAAAATGAAAAATGGTCATAAAACTGTAGGTCGACCAAAGATGATTACCAGTGAGTGGGGATTTCCATTTGATTTATTAGATTTGAAAATTATGGCTCAGCGATATTTGAATAATACTGCAATGAAAGATTATTTTCTTTCAAAATTTCAAGATTCCAGCAAAAGAGTGGACGACAAGTTTTTTAAAACGTAGCAGACATGTTTTATCAAATTGATATGCAACAAATATTGCAACAGAGCAAAAACTTCATCTAATATAATTGATAATTTCTTCGATAATCTTGAAAAAATATCACAAATATTTCATCTGACTGCATCATCAACTATGACAAGACAAACTTGAGTGATGATCCTGGAGCCAAAAAATATATATTCAAACGAGGTACTATGTACCCAGAAAGAGTTTTAAACAGTTCTATAACCTCAATAAATTTAATGTTCGCTGGAACTGCTACTGGTACTATTTTACCCATTTATGTTGTTTATAAATCAGAACATTTGTGGGATACTTGGATGGAAGGCGGACCTGATAAAACTGTTTATAATCGAAATAAAAGTGGATGTTTTGAAACTTTTTGTTTTGAAGATTGGTTTTTTAAAATAATTATTCCATATATACAATACAAAGAAGGAAATGAAATTCTAATTGGTAACAACTTGTCTTTACATTTCTCAGATTTAATTACAAATTATTAATTAAATTTAATTAGTAACAAGCGGTAACGTAATTTTTTAATGGCTTCTTTAATTCGTTTTAATTTGGCGTCTTTAATATTACGTAGGTATAAAAAATATGGCGTCCAGAACTGCGCTTTTACATATAGACCATCATTTAAATTCATACCTCCGTTTTTAGGTCCGCATTTGTTGAACTAAATTTTAATTGCCTCTCGAATCTTTCTTTCAAATTTTTTGGGTTCTTATTTTAACGTTTTTACTTTATCTCATTTACTACATGAGCATTTACTACATTTATCTCTATTCTACATGGGCATTGAACTTTATGATGCCCAATTCCGATTTTTCTTCTAAAACATTTTTGTGGTGTTGTTTTGTTCTTGTTGCTATTTTCATTTTTGTTTCGCCGATGTGTTTTTGTTCACACTTGCATTCTATTAGGTATACTCCGGAATGGCTATTTGATGATTTGTTTTGTTGCGTGAAGTTAACAAAGATTAAAGATTTGCGCTAAATTTAAAGACTGCACTGTAACCTGCTTTGTTAAAGATTTTTCGAAATTTCGGTAATAATATTGGGATCCACGGTAGTGATATAGTTGGCATATAATATTGTTGGCAATAATATTGTTGGCAACAATAACTGCAAGGTCTTGTAATTTTTTCTTTTTGTATCCATTTCAGCAAACATATTTATTAGGAAATCGATTTTTTTATTTAAAAAACTTTTCAGAGCAATTGATAAAGCTCTATGAATAAATCCTTTAAATAACCCTTCTAAAATTTTTAGATCGTGGTTTGAATTGGGCTTAACCTGAATATATATATATATATATATATATATATATATATATATATATATATATATATATATATATATATATATATATATATATATATATATATATATATATATATATATATATATATATATATATATATATATATATATATATATATATTTATATATATATATATATATATATATTTATATATTTATATATAAATATATATATATAAATATGTATATATACAGCTATTCACGAAAAAAATTTTAAGAACAAATCTTTGGTTTTTTCTTTAATAAAATTTTTTTTATTAAGAAAAAAATAAACCTACTTGATCAAAATTACACTCTCGTTTAAACTTTTGTGAAAAGCTGTTCATATATATATATATATATATATATATATATATATATATATATATATATATATATATATATATATATATATATATATATATATATATATATATATATAAAAGGCCTAAGGCCTTTTTGTGACCCAACGTTCCCGGGTCATAAATCGATGAATATTTGTACAATGTAATCAAAAAAATATTAACTTTTATTTTCTTGTTGAACAAAACAACCCACAAACAAAAAATTTGAATTTACTCTAGATAAGTATGGATAAAGTTCCAAACAATTTTATGATCGTTATTTTTAAATTCTAATTTTTTTAATTGGAGAGTTTTTATGTAGCTTTTAAGCATTTAACAATTTATTGTTACCATAACGCTCTAAATTACAAATAAATATAAAATTATAAACTTAAATAACAAATATTAAAAAGATGAAGACACTTGATTGCTAGTTCAGCTCACTGATTTGTTCTAGGAATTTTCATTCCTGGTTCCTTTTTTCCATTCATTTTGGTTCCTGATTTTAAAACTTTTTCACTGAGTTTAACGCTTTTTCGTGACCGTGCAAGCTGCTACATACCTTCCAAATATTATCGTCATTGTACATTTTGTCAGTAAGCCAATGGTCCGCCCATCTGTAAAAGATGATTCTACAAATGTCATGACGTCACAGGTTTCAAAGTGGAGAGGAATAATCTACAATTCTCTTTATAAAAAGAAAAAAAAGGTCCTTTTGAAAAAATTTGAAGGGGGCATTCAGACATTCAGGGCCCTCAACTCAACTGGCTTAGTCAGTCCTAAATGTCTACTAGTAAATATCTTCTCACTGGTAGAAGAATAAGTTCAAAAAGAGTTTATATTGCTCGGGAATTCAAATTTGCATTTTTTAATTTAGGTATTTTCTTAAACTTCACTTTAGAAAATACTCTAGATTCTTCAAAAAAGCCGAATACCCGATATTATATAATAGAAGTTTCATATCATCACGCCATTCTACTGTTTACGTAATCACTTTTAACCATTCTTGAAATTCTTGGATAAACAGATATTTAAAATTAGGTGACATGTTGTTTCCTCCAAGTTTTTTCTTCATCCATACGCGAAAATCTTGGTCAAGAACATGATTTTTAAAACCAATGAATTATGTTTCTTGCAGGGTTTTTTTCAGTAAAACGTCTTTGCCACTAACTTTAATCCTTTTTCCAATGTTTACATTTGTAGTTTCCGCTGCAATTATCTTTATACTTTCCCATAAATTGTATTAATCGAGAATTGCTGTTATACCTTTCTTAACAGTGTCTGCTTTTCCGTCTGGTCATGTGCTTGTAACTTATCTTCTCTTTGTTTACGTTTACCAGTGCAGCAACCTATTTTCTAAATGCAGTTTTTTCTTCATTTCTTATTTAAGTTTAACAACATCCTTTAAATTTGATCTAAGTATGTCAGACTGTGAATGTGTCTGAATATTGATCCTATCTTGAGATAACTGTCGATAAATGGTTGCTGCTTTGATAACTTGATAAATTTAAAGATGTTACTGATTAAGTTGCTGTTTTGGTTTTACAGTAGTTGCTATTGTTACTTGTGGACTGTTCTTCTGAAGCAGATACTGTTTTACGGTAGTTGACGTTGTTACTGTTTTGCCGTTACTATTGTTGAAATATCAAGAATATTTTTCTTCTTTTGGATGGGTTGATGGATAGTTCTTAAGCTAGCAGACTTTCAAGTTGTATACCCGACCAGTCATTTCCTTACAATCTGAAGATAATACACTCATTTGTTTGTGCTGCAGAGCCTTTCACCATCTTTTGTTGTAATGCCAAAAACTTAATTTAATGGTTCGTGATGTCAAAAACATCGTATTTTCTTTGTTTCAAAAATTTATCGTGCGTCTTCAACACTTAATCGAGTTTTGCCTGTACAATTTGAAATAATAAATGTGAAAAATTTAACTTCATATGCCATAAACCTGTTACTTCATTCTCAATTTGCTTTATGCATTCTCATCTCATCTTCATTTAATGGATTTCTCCCAAGACCTGATATTAGATTCTCCATTTAGATTGGATTGTTTCTTTCAGTAGTGGAAGATTT